TAAAGCAGAGAGGTCATAATTCAACCAGTAGTACCAAATATTGGATAACCCTTTGGGAAAAGTGAACTTGTTTAGACCCTTATCTTACACCATATAACAATAAATTCCAGGTGATTGAAGACTTAATTGTCAAAAATCAAACCATCAGAGACCAAAAGAATTTTCTAAATTTAAAACTTTTAGAAGAAATTACTAAGGAAAAGAGAGATAAAATTATATCAAAATTAAAGCTCCTGCATTTTGAGAAACTTTCTTAAAAATGATAATCGACCAGTTGCCTAAGGAAAAAAAATCCAACAAAGAATCATGTCCTTAATACAAAGAGCTCATACAGATTGATTAAAAAAACAAACAAACTTCTTTCCGGTATATAAGCATCAAAAGGCTAGGAATAGACAACTCCCAGAATGCAAGCACTAAATAAGAAGAAAAAAAGTTCAACCCAATTAGTAATTAAATAAATGCAAATCTAAACAATGTTATTTTTTACCCAACAAATTAGCAGAGATGGCCAGACGCAGAGGCTCACGCCTGTAATCCCAACACTTTGGGAGGCCAAGGCGGATGGATCACTTGAGGTCAGGAGTTCAAGACCAGCCTGGCCAACATGGTGAAACCCTGTCTCCACTAAAAACACAAAAAATTAGCCAGGCCTGGTGGCGGGCACCTGTAATCCCAGCTATTAGGGAGGCTGAGACAGGAGAATCGCTTGAACCCAGGAAGCGGGGGTTGCAGTGAGCTGAGATCACACCATCACACTCCAGCCTGGACAACTGAACAAGACTCCATCTCAAAAAAAAAAAAAAAATTAGCAGAAAGTAAAAATCTGATAACACTCATTTCCCTGAAGCAGTTACTCATAGGCTGCTGTGGAAATTGTTGCAACCTGTCAAGAAAGTAGTTGGTCTTAAAATATTAATATTCTTGGATCTACTAGTTCGCCTTCTAAGAATAAGTTCCAAGAAAATAAGCAGAAGTACAGACAAATACTTATGACCAAAGACATCCCATGCAGTGTTATTATTTAGAATAGAAAAAAAAAAGTGTTCATTCATTAGAAGAATGGTTCAATCAATTAGGATGTATCAATATGATAGAATATGCATTAGAATGTTCAGGCAGAATTTTTAATGATCTGCGGAAATGCTGTTTTACATAAAAGGCAGATTTTATAGACAGACACACAGACAGGCATACATATATATACACACACATATATCAACAATGGAAAGAACAAAATACACAGAAAATGATGAGAAGGAAATATACCAAACTGTTAACAGTAATTGCCTCTTGGTTGCAACTTTGTGAGGTCTTTATTTCTCCCTGCTTCTTAGTACTTGTCCTTACCTTTCTAATTTTCTACAGGGAACCTAACAATGTTTTGATAACGGGGGAAGGGATAAAGTAAACTAAAAAAAGAAAAACAATATTTAAGCATGTAAATGACTTTAAAGCTTCCTGAACATGAAAGGAATATGAAAGCAAGAAGAAGAGAAAATGATAGTACACTGTGTCTAAGTTTAGTTTTAAAAATACCAGCATGCCAGTCCCTGGAACACATCAGTATGCAGACTGCTTTGTAAAATGCCAAACTAATGTCAGAGGCTTTTAGGTGTTATAATCCCAGGGTAATAATTCTCTTGACTAAATCCCTCAACCAGATAATACCTGGTAAATTGAGTAGCCTAATACTCTTTCACTGCACCAAAAAAAGACACTTGATAAGAAATATTTTCAAGTTGTCAGCATCGTAGATTCAGATTAGCACTTTTGCCAATCTTCCATTCATTTATCAAATATTAAACAAGCACTAGCTGTGTATCAAGTGCTGTGCTAAGAACTAGAAATTCAGTTAACTTTCTAGTTTTACTGAACCCATATTACTTAGGTCAGGATTACTTATGTCATTCTAATTAATGTCCTTCTAACCTCATTAACAATTAAATGCAAATTAAGCATGATGACTGTGAGGCCACCGAACTTAATCTACAACTCACTTTGGTGAGAATCAAGACATGGCATAAATGAGTAAACATCCTCGCAAATAAATGTCATAGATTACTCATGAATGTAAGACTATGAATGAACTGAAAGACTTCAGAGTATATCGGTTTAAGTAACTCATTTATTCACTCCACAGACAGTCACTGAACATCTACTGGTATGCCTCATGGGCTGGGTGCTGATGGATACAAAGATAAATGACATATGGCACCTGCCCTCAAAATGCTTATCAGGTTAACACACAAAACTATAATATGACAACTCCTATAATTGAGATGGGGCACTCGATTTTGCATTGATATTCTTTCGTTTCTAAAAGAGATCAACAGTAGGCCGGCCCAGTGGCTCACACCTGTAATCCCAGCACCTTGGGAGGCCCAGGCGGGCGGATCACGAGATCAGGAGTTCGAGACCACCCTGGCCAATATGGTGAAACCCTGTCTCTACTAAAATTACAAAACTTAGCTGGGCATGGTGGCACACGCTTGTAGTCCCAGCTACTCAGGAGGCTGAGGCAGAAGAATCGCTTGAACCTGGGAGGTGGAGGTTGTAGTGAGCTGAGATCGCACCAGTGCACTCCAGCCTGGGAGACGGAGCAAGATTCCGTCTCAAAAAAAAAAAAAGAGATCGGCGATCGGCAGTTACATCTATTAAACAAAATTAAGTTGAAGAGCACAGTGTTTATTGAGAGCTTGCCAGGCACTGTGCTAGCTGCTTTGCCGTAAGTTAACTCATGTACTTCTCATAGTTTATCAACTGCATTTGACAACATGGAGAAACAGGCGCCGCCACCTCGCCCGGCTAATGATTTTTGTATTTTTAGTAGAGACGAGGTTTCACCGTGTTAGCCAGGATGGTCTCGATCTCCTGACCTCGTGATCCGCCCGTCTCGGCCTCCCAAAGTGCTGGGATTACAGGCTTGAGCCACCGCGCCCGGCCTACCCGGCCTTTTCTAATCAACAGATGCTTTCTCCACATAATCACTTCTTACTTCTTACTCAGTTCGACCCCCACGAGAATGCTGGCATTCGTTACCCTGTCTCACAGAAAGGTCATGAAGCATATCATAGCCATGTTCATAACAACACTTGTGACCTCACTGCCTCCTCTCTCTTTGAACTTTCTGCATTTAAAGATTTTTCCCTTTGCTACCTCGACAACTTCTGCTTCCTTTCATACTCTCCCACTAGTTGGAAGAAAACAACTACAAAATATGCGAACAAACTTAGGAGGAAAAAAAAGTATTGCTCACACCTGAACCCCACACAACATACAGCTGCTCCGTTAGAATGGTGTTCAAGTAGGAACGTGGAAGAAGCTGTGTCCATAGTGGTCGTGCTGATGGCTCCAGCTCTTAAGCAAAAGTTTCACATAATGACAGAATTTACCCAGTCATGTTTCAATTTTACACTGTTCATATTTTTTAACTATTTTTAAAGCCTTTATTATTAAAATTCCTGAAGGAAAAATACTATTGAGAGTTGGAAATTATGTTGTATCTACAAATTAAATTATAATCCCTAATTAAAGGACTACATATATACAGCTAATGTTTTAGAATTTCACATTGTATGAAAGTTGCCATGTGTGTTATCTGTGTATTTCGTTTCTGAAATCCTACCATCATTATTCTTGCAGATCAGGAAATTTTACGTAAGTTAGAAAAGGAGAAAATCCTGGTGTTCACGCCATCCCGGCGAGTCCAGGGGAGGAGAGTGGTGTGCTATGACGACAGGTTCATCGTGAAGCTGGCTTTTGAGTCGGATGGTATCATTGTGTCCAATGATAACTACAGGGATTTGGCTAATGAGAAACCAGAATGGAAGAAGTTCATAGATGAACGATTATTAATGTATTCATTTGTCAATGACAAGTAAGTAAAACCATTTACTTGCCAATGATATTGCTTCTGTGAAAATATAACTATCCCTGGTAGCTGCTACAGAATTCTCTTTTTGCCACTGTCCAGACCTCAAACAGGTTTCTAACAACTGATCTCCCCACTGTTCCTCAGTGGGAGTCAGGAAAACTGCAGAATCATTGCCACAGGAGGCCCGGTGTGAGTGGCAGGCCCCACCTTTCCCTGTAAGTCACTCACAGAACACCTAAGGTAGAGGAAGTCTTCTAAGACTCTGTCTGAAGAACCTGAGGAAACAGACATAGGGGGAATTCCCATCTTCACCCTCAAAGGGGACTGCCTTTCACAATCAATGTAGAGCGTTGATCGCTTACTGAATAAGCCATGCTTGGCTTAACAACAGGGATATGTTCTGAGAAGTTCGTCCTCAGGCGATTTCATCATGGGTGTGAACATCATAGAGTGTACTTACACAAACCTAGCTGGTCCAGCCTACCACACACCTAGGCGATATGATACATACAGCCTGTTGCTCCCAGGCTACCTTTTATAGCATGCTAGTGTACTGAATACTGTAGGCAATTGTAATACAGTGGTACGATATGGTTGTATATCTAAACATACCTAAACACTGAAGAGGTATATTTACCATAAAAATATACTATAAAAGATTTCTAAATGGTACGTCTCTATAGGGCACTTAACCATGAGTGGAGCTTGCAGGACGGGAAGTTGTCCTAAGTGAGTCAGTGAGTATATGGTGAGTGAATGTGAAGGGCTAGGACATTACCATAAACCACTGTAGATAAACACTGTATACTTAGGCTATTTCAAATTTATCAAAAAATACTTTTTTTTCAATTATTAACCTTGGCTTATAACTTTTTTACTATTAATATATAAACCTCTTAGTTTTTAAAACGTTTTTCTCTTTTGTAATAACACTTAGCTTAAAACATTGTACAGCTGTACAAAAACATTTTCTTTCTTTATAGCCTTATTCTATATGCTCTTTTCTATTTTTATTTTTTTCTTTCTTTTTAAAGTTTTTGTTAAAAACTAAGACACAAACACAGTATCCTAGGCCTACACAGGGTCAGGAACATCAGAATCACTGTCCTCCACCTCCACATATTGTTGCTCTGGAAGGTCTCCCGGGGCAGTACTGTGCGTGGAGCTGTCATCTCCTATGGTAACAATGCCTTTTGAAATACTTCCCGAAGGAACTGCATGAAGCTGTTTTACAGTTAACATTTTTTTTAGAAGTAGAAGGAATGCACTCTAAAATAAAAACAAAAGGTATAATATAGTAACTACATAAACCAGTAACGCAGTTGGGGACTTTTTAGTTTTCTTTTGTTTTTTTGTTTTTTGAGACGGAGTCTTGCACTGTCGCCCAGGCTGGAGTGCAGTGGCACCATCTCGGCTCACTGCAACTTCAGCCTCCCAGGTTCAAGCAATTCTCATTCCTCAGCCTCCTGAGTAGCGGGAATTACAGGCACACCCCATCACACCTGGCTAATTTTTGTTTTTTTTTTTTTTGGTGGGAACAAGGTTTCACCATGTTGGCCAGGCTGGTCTCAAACTCCTGGCCTCAAGCTGTCTGTCTGTCTTGGCCTCCCAAAATGCTAGGATTACAGGTGTGAGCCATGATGCACAGCCAGTAACATCGTAGTTTATCAAGTATTATGCACAGTCCGTAATAGTATGTGCTACACTTTTATATGACTGGGGGCACAGTAGCTTTGTGTGTACCAGCATCAGCATGATCACAAACACATGCGTAATACATTATGCTATCACGTTACCAGCAACTTTTCAGCTCCACTGTCATATATGCGGTCCATTGTTGACCAAGCTGTTATGCAGTGTGTGACTGTACATGAATTTTTAAAGTTCTTAAACTAGTTTAAGATTCTGGCCATGATGAGAGTCTAAAAGTTGATGAATGAACAAATGACATCAACAAGCATGTCTCATGAGAAGTAAATATATTTATAAATATGTAGAAAAAGTTCACCTCTTGTGCCAATTAGAAATGCAAATGAATCTAAAAAGAAAATATTTTCTCACTCATTTAATTCACAACAATAGTTTTGTGTATGCCTCATGCTATTAAAGATGTACTGATATATTATTTGGCAGAGGTTCACAGAAGCCTCAAGAATATTGTGTTCTATCAACCCAAAAATCTCATTTCTTGGAATATATAATGAGGAATAAATAAAGACCAGATGTGTTCATTTCTGTATTATTTATAATTGCAAGAATTCAAGGGCAACTAAATGTACAGTAGAGAAATCAATCAAATTATGATACATCTCCTACTGGAATATTATTCAGCTCTTCAGGGTTATTATGAAAAAAAGAATTATGCCAGGTGTGGTGGCTCACACCTGTAATCCTAGCACTTTGGGAGGCCAAGGTGGGTGGATCACCTGAGGCCAGGAGTTTGAGACCAGCCTGGCCAACATGGCAAAACCCCATCTCTACTAAACATCCAAAAAAAATTAGCTGGGTTTAGTGGTGGGCGCCTGTAATCCCAGCTACCTGGGAGGCTGAGGCAGGAGAATTGTTTGAACCCCGGGGGGCAGAGGTTGCAGTGAGCCGAGATCATACCACTTCACTCCAGCCTGGGTGAAACAGCAAAGCTCTGTGTCAAAAAGATAAAAAGAATTATTATGAAGGCTATTAAGAAACATGGGAAAGTTTTTTATGTTAAAAAGACAAAGTGTAATATCATATTTGTGTTTGATTAAAGCCATGTAAAATGATATGTGCACAATGAAAATGACGGACATGGAAAGTAATTGTATTAAGATTGTGGGATTGAGTGACTTTATCTTCTGTTTTGTAACATGTAATGTTACCATATTGTTTTATAATACTGAACACTGTGTTTGCTAAGTGTTAATAATCAGCCATGCTGACACTCCTTTAAGGGTTCTTACATTATTCCCATTATTCACATTTTATAGGTAAATACTTGGGTTTAAGTTCAAATGGTGATATAATGAACAGCAGAATTCTTCAAGTGTAACTTCTTTTCATTATTCATGCCATAAATTCTTCTCTTCTTTATTAGTCCATCCAAAATACTAGGTTTATTTCCTTAGCATTTTTTCTATCTCAGCTGAGAAGCGCATTCAAATAGGAAAGAGAATAGATTGGAGTTAGATATAATTGAATCTCGACTGTGCCATGGGACATTGGATAAAAATCACCTAATTTATCTAAACCTAAATTAGAGAAGTTTACTTGTCTGTAAAATGGAGCTGATACTTCATGGGCTCATGGTTAGGACACCATGGTGTAGTGTGTAAAGTGCCTGGCACTAACCCGTGTTCGGTAAGTTTGTACCTTCCCATTGTGTTCTAGCCCGTCCCTTCTCAGCTTCTCCGCCTCGCCCCACCTGCAGCAATCTATTTCATGAGGTCTATGTTGATGAAACTCCTAAAGTGTGACTGAAATCATTTTCTAAAACCCTTACAAAATCCCAAGACTGAGAGGAAGGAAGAATTAATAGGATATGCTCAACTCAAAACTTACTTGAATGAAAACAAATACAATTTCAGAGCTCGAAACAGTTGAATTTTCATTAAGAAATGAGAACTTCATTTACTGATTTTTTACTCTGTAAACATTGAATCAAAACGCTTGGATTAAAATTTCAAAAAAAATTCCTTAGAGTGAACAAATCTTTGTCCTCTTTTTAGAATTAAATTATCAGCTTCCAACTTAGGTATCATTTTTTTATTTTCTCTGTGACAGGTTCATGCCCCCTGATGACCCTCTTGGCAGACATGGCCCCAGTCTGGATAATTTTCTGAGGAAGAAACCTATTGTTCCTGAACACAAAAAGCAGCCTTGTCCATATGGTAACTTGCTTTATGAATATTGAGTATATGCTGTTAGAACACAATATATTATTAAACTTTTATTAATAAAAATAAACACTTAAAATTTTGGATGGCATAATATGCACGTCTTTGGATTCCAATTAAATTTCAGAAAATGTCTTGGCCATGAAAAAGACTTATTTTTACCTGTTTGGATTCAATACAAATGCATTTCCTTATATTAAAACATGGTTCAAAAAACACTGTTAATTCTACATGAAGTTAGCTTCGAAGTGAATAAAAATTTGGAATTTTTTCATCTAGATACAAATCAGATTAGCATGGTTCTATCGCCCTACAATAGTACACTGTGCTCTTCAAGACAGAATTTCCTACCTAATTATAAAGTCCTACTGGAAGAGAAGAGGCAGGGAGGAGTTGAGGACACAGAGGTATTAGCCAAAAGTTCTGGAGGTGGCTGGGCGCAGTGGCTCAAACCTGTAATCCCAGTAGTTTGGGAGGCCAAGGTGGGCAGATCACATGAGGCCAGGAGTTGAGACCAGCTTAGGTAACATGGCGAAACCTTGTCTCTACTTAAAATACAAAACAATTCACCAGGCGTGGGGGCACACGTCTGTAATCCCAGCTACTCAAGTGACTGAGGCATAAGAATTGCTTGAACCCAGGAGGCAGAGGTTGCAGTGAGCTGAGATCACACCACTGCCCTCCACCTGGGTGACAGAGCAAGACTCTGTCCCAAAAAAAAAAAAAAAAAAAAAAGTTCTGGAGGTGATTGTTACTCATTCGGCCAACTTCCTACTGCTCTTGATAGTAAGGAAGTGAGAAGACTGAGAAGTGACGTTTCTCAAGAGTAAAGAACAGGGTGACACTTAAAACAGCTCCCATTTCTGTCGTTGTCTCTTCTACACGTTAAAATCATAGGGCCAAACTGTGTTTTCCGGATCTGATGGTATGCTCCTTTGCCTAATTAATTTTACTCTTCTTAGGAAAGAAGTGTACCTATGGACACAAGTGCAAATATTATCATCCCGAAAGGGGCAGCCAGCCGCAGCGGTCAGTGGCTGATGAACTCCGTGCCATGTCTAGAAATACGGCAGCCAAAACTGCAAACGAAGGAGGACTGGTGAAAAGCAACAGTGTTCCTTGTAGCACCAAGGCTGATAGCTCTTCTGATGTCAAACGAGGTGCTCCAAAGAGGCAATCAGATCCAAGCATAAGGACTCAAGTCTACCAAGACCTAGAAGAAAAGCTTCCCACCAAAAACAAATTGGAAACCAGGTCTGTACCTTCCTTAGTTAGCATCCCGGCTACTTCTACTGCAAAACCCCAAAGCACTACATCTTTAAGCAATGGCCTTCCATCTGGAGTTCATTTCCCACCTCAGGATCAAAGACCACAGGGACAATATCCTCCAATGATGATGGCAACCAAAAATCATGGAACGCTAATGCCTTATGAACAGTATCCAAAATGTGACTCGCCTGTCGACATTGGATATTATTCCATGTTGAATGCATACTCAAATCTGAGTCTCTCAGGCCCACGAAGCCCTGAAAGGCGTTTCTCCTTAGACACAGATTATAGAATAAGTTCCGTAGCTTCTGACTGCAGCAGTGAAGGGAGCATGAGCTGTGGGAGCAGTGACTCCTACGTGGGTTACAATGACCGGTCCTATGTCAGCTCCCCCGACCCACAGCTAGAGGAGAATTTGAAGTGTCAACACATGCACCCTCACAGCCGCCTTAATCCTCAACCCTTCCTGCAGAATTTCCACGACCCCTTAACCAGAGTGCAAAGTTACAGTCACGAAGAACCAAAGTTCCATCACAAGCCTCCTCTTCCGCACTTGGCTCTGCACCTGCAGCACCCCGCTGTGGGCGCCCGGTCCAGCTGTCCCGGCGACTACCCCTCTCCTCCAAGTTCAGCACACTCTAAGGCACCACACCTAGGGAGGTCCTTGGTGGCCACGAGAATAGACAGCATCTCTGACTCTCGACTTTATGATAGTTCTCCTTCACGACAAAGAAAGCCTTATTCCCGCCAGGAAGGCCTGGGAGGCTGGGAGAGGCCGGGTTATGGGATCGACGCCTATGGGTACCGGCAGACATATTCCTTGCCCGATAACTCCACGCAGCCGTGTTATGAGCAGTTCACCTTCCAGAGCCTCCCCGAGCAGCAGGAGCCGGCCTGGCGGATCCCGTACTGTGGAATGCCGCAAGATCCCCCCAGGTATCAAGACAACCGAGAAAAGATTTATATCAATTTGTGCAACATCTTCCCACCTGACCTTGTGAGAATTGTCATGAAAAGGAATCCTCACATGACAGACGCCCAGCAGCTCGCCGCAGCCATTTTAGTGGAGAAATCCCAGCTGGGTTATTGAAAGATGATGCATCTTTGTGGTGTTTAGTAGTTTTTTGTTCAGCTCAAATGCTGAGGGAGGTTTGCTACAATAGCACATGTGATCTCCTTCTCAGCAAGGAGGTTATATAGTATCCATTTATGTGAAATACTGTATCATGGAATCTGTATGTATAGCCCCACATGGTGGAAGTATCACGGGATTGCTTTACATTTAAACTTTTTTTTAACATTTCCTTTTTAAAGCTATATCCTTGGCTGGAAATTTTTCCAGTTTGATTTAATAGATGTATCTGTGATCTTTGATATTAATCTTTGGTGCATCAGGGGTTTATATGCAGCACTTTTTATCCTTGTTTTGTGTTTTATTAACTTGGTGTTTGTCTATCAATTGCAAGCAATTACAATACCTTCAGAATGTGGGACATTTGACTAGACCTAGCAAACTGTTTTTTCGAGCCAAGCTTAATTAGACTCTTTTACAGCTTTTTAAGTTATTTTTATTTGGGGAAAGTGGGCTTCTTTGTGCTATAATCATTATTTATAGAAACAAAGATATACTACAGCACTGACTTTATATTTTAAACAAAATGTAAGTTACCAGTTTTATGTTGAAATGGGTAACAGTATATATATTAGAATGATTTACAATATGGCACTTTTCATTGTGTTATTTTTGTTTGGATTTTTTTCTGTTAAGAAATTAGTTAATTTAATATGGTTGATTTAAAAGAAAGCAGATGCAATCAATGGAAAAAATGTTTCCATTTTTTTTAAATGAATAAGGCAAAAGCTATAACTGTTACAGGTTAGAGCTTTGTTATCCAGCTGTGATGTGCTTCTAGACAGTAGAAGTGGAATTGAATTCCTAGATTTCCATTAACCTGTATTTTTAATATGTCTGTCTTTTTGTTTTGGGGCACAACAATACTGGATAAAATAACCCTTTCACAGCACTTGCCTGTTTTTAATGAATCTAATTATTCACAATGCAACTTTTATATTTAACATACTCTTTAGCTTTCCTGCTATTTATCAAGGCTGGCCTGAGGTGGGTTTATGTGTTGAGGATATGCAACATTTCTTGATACTGCACTATAGAAATGGTGATGGAGAAGTTGTAAATGGTAACTTAAAATTTTTGTAAGATATTGTATATTTTCCATTTTCCTGAAGGTAGTTTTCTTGGGGGGCCTGTTATATTATTAAGGCCAGATTCTTGCCACAAATAGTGTAGTTTTAGATACAGACTAAGGTCTGTTCTAGTATTAGTAAGGGATATTTCTGGTTTCAAAGTCCTGGGTTTTGCTAGCGGTGAATACATTTCTGCGGATTAGAAGACAGATTTTGCAGCCAGTGGCAGACAGTTGTGTGACTGACATCACTTGACGGTTGCCTCCAGATTTTGAATTGTACTTTGTGTAACAGACTCATTCAGATCTTTTTCTGTAGTCTGCTTAGATGCCCTGGCTATTCTGATTATTCTACATGCTACAGTTTGAAGTAAAGCCCTGAAAAACCAGAAAGTACCTTTTACTGTTGATACAAATTGTATCTTTTTAACTATAAGAACTGTTTTGATTTGTAGATCTAGTTAAAACACAAGTATGTAACTATGATTAGACTTTTGGGCAACATTTTATCCCTTATTTAAATACAAATTTTTTAAGTAAAATTGAGGTCTAGAATAGGTTAGAAAATAAAAATAACAATTTAGATAAATAAAAGTGTTTGTCTTAGTTTTATATAATATATTAAAACACATTACATAAATTTATTGGCATTTTCTTTCTCCTAAAACTTACCTAGTGTGAACTTAAAATAAAGGTAAAATGCTGCCTGAAAATAATGTCCAAGCACCTTTGACTAGGATAACATTTTCACTACTTGTGCGACACTGTGTGTTGCACGAAGTAGGATTTGGGTATACAGTAAATGCTTCTAAAAGGCATTGTGCATATTGACATAACCAATAATCTGAACCGTGTTCAGCAAACTTAATTCAGGAAAGTGGTATTCTACACAATTATTGCTGTTGTGTTTGAAATGAGTGTGGCACTCATCTGTACCCAGAAATAATATGGGTGAGACCACACAACCCATTGTGAGTGGTGTCTGTCTGAGAGCAACGCTACTCACCTGTGAAATCGTTCTCCTTGATTTGGTTGGTCACTATAAAGCAAGTTTAAACATAGAGGCTAACTCAGTGCCAAAACTAGGGTTACAGATGTGTAATATCTTTTATTTTAGTCATATTCTAAGACTTTTTTTTTAGTATGAAATCACTTTTAAATTATACATGTAGGTTTTGCTTCCATTTTCTTCATTTTACCATTTATTTGAACATTCACCAAATTTTACTACATTTATTTAAATGAGATCTTAGGTGAGATGTGTGTGACACTTTGAATTTGACCTTCTTGTGTTATTAGCTGACTATTTGTCATTGCCTCATGGATTTTAAATTATGGGAAAATAGTGTAGCCAGCTGCCACCTCTACTGAAGTGAATAGCTCTGAACTACCCACACTAAATCCTTCAGTGTAATTAATTATGAGTTTAAAAATAGCAGTTTTCTTATGTGAAGAGGACAATTTGTCCCCTTGTTTTGAATCGCCAGTGTTGCGTTCAGAGCTGTAGAATGAGATAATTGGCAGACTTTAGGTACAGCAAATTCTTACTTATCTAAAGCAATAAGTCAAAGGAGTCCATCATTAAATTAAATCCATAGCTGATCACAAGCCTTCATGTTAGCCAAAACTTTCTCTCTAACCAAATCTTTTACCAGACTTGCTAATAAGTAACCAGAGAGGTGTGTTAATAAGTGAAATTGCCAGAAATGGTCAACTGATCAAAAACAAAAAAAGGATTCAGATTGGAATATTTTGCCCCTGAATAATTGACAGTTGACTGTACTTTACACAGTAAGTAGCCAGTCTGTTGTCTCTGTGTCTTAGTCCAGAGGGAATAGTACCTAACTGGCCAAATACTGGCTCTTGGTATTTCCTTCTTTCTTGCATGTGATACAGACGTTTTCAGTCTTGTTTTTATGATCTCTCTAGATATCCTGATAAGAGTTTGTCACTGACCTACACATTTGGAAGAAATGCACACCAGTATACAATATTTGATACTGGTGGAAACTTGACCTTTGTGTTTTTATGAAAATTCATTTATGAGAATATGTAATATAACTGAAGAGTATTTTATATATATCTATATATACACAAATATGTATTTGTTATGAGGTATTAAAAACAGGGGTTGGGGGAGTGCTTCTGATGGCTAACTTTTCTCTAATTGAACTATGTTTCTTTGAGTTGTGAACGACCAAGTCTGGGGTCTGGACAGCCAATGATAAGATTTAGAACCACTTGGATGGAAAGCGATTCTTCACTGGTTTTATTCTTGGTATTTTAAAAGAATTATTTTGATATTTTTAATAGAATGTGTAATTTTAAAGTACACAAAAAACTTAAAGTAGTATTGATTATACAAATAATTATTTAACATGTCTTATGGATGTATCTATATGTATATAGACAGTAATATATTTATAAAACAAATATACTTTGCTTATGTTATAGCTCTTGTTTGTGACAGGTGGGAGGATGGCTCTGGGGGTGTGTGTGTGTTTGTGTGTGTGTGTGTGTTTGTGTGTGTGTGTGTGTGTGTGTGTTGAAAACTCAAGCTGTTTTCCTCTGATTTACAATGGTATTTACTTTAAAGTATATATGGTTTTCGTTATCCTTTTTGCTATTCAGCTTCCTTATTCAAGATAAAATAAGATGTACAGTTTTCTGGCCATTCTGTTGGTGTGTGGTGCATCCATTTTATTGTCATATAACTCCTGGAGAATTCTCAAGTGACCTGAAATCAAACAGGTTCTGGTTGGACATATACTTATGTTCCAAATATATTAAAGATGGTAATTCAGCTAACATGTTAAGTTTCCAAGGTATACACTGACAAATAAAGTGAGGTATTAAAAAGAGATGGATTACACACATGCCTTAGAATAAGAGAAAACAGAGCGTTAATAAAAGTAAAAAAAACATACACTATCTTAGCCCCCTAGGGCAGGGGCGGATTTTTTCTGTAAAGGATCAGATAGTAAATAATACAGGAATCATATGGGCTTAAAATATCATTGTAAAAACTACTCATCTCTGGCTGTATGGCATAAGAACAGCCACAGATAACACGTAAATGAGTGTGGCTGTGTTCCAATAAAACTTTATTTACAGAAACAGGAAGCAGGTCAGATTTGGCCTGTGGGCCAGGGTTTGCTGATCTCAAGCAGTAAATCCAGTATATGTTAACAGAAGAAATCATAATTGCATTTCAGTTGACATTCAAAGAAAATCTGGTAGTTTTTGATATCCTTCAAAAGACGATTGTTAGACATTCATATGAAAGCATCCTAATTCATTTGAGTTTTTTACCTGTTTACACCCGTTATTTATTAGAGATATTTCTTGTGCTTCACCACACACAAAAAAAGCATTCTGTTAAAATGTTTTAATATGTATTGAATTTTTTTCATGAACTTTTCATTTCTATTGATAAATGGGAATCCCTTACCAACCTTTTGTTTTTTAACAGCCTCATGGACCAAAAAAATCTGTTGCAGCATTTAATTAGCCACAAATACATTTTGGCTGCATTTACCAGTTACATTTTTCTGTTGGTTTTGGCTTCTAATAAATGATATATCTGCCATTCTTTAAAAATGGTTTTAAAGAAGATAAATATATTGTAATTTCACATGCTATAGCTTTATTCTGTAAGATTAAAACTTGTGACTAGTGTAATTGTAGCTATAATGTGAGTGGCATGTTACAATGTAACTCTTTATAAGAAATAAAATGTATCTCTGCTTTGTCTGTCCAGATCTTTAGGTTTTTTAGATGCTTTGGGACTGTCCTTGGTGAATGATATTCTTCATATGATCATGTGTAATTCTGAGTTCGTTGGAAGTACACGCTGCTGAGCATGTTCATTCACAGTGCTTTATACCGGCTGTTGCATGGATAATATCATTTTCATAAGAACATTTAAACAGCATGAACATCATTATTCACTTCAATAGTTAAACTTTCTTTTAAAATTGGAATGCAACTCTGGGTTTTAACAATGTTTATTGTTTTTTTAAGTGGTTACTTTGTTTTTCCTTAATACTTTCTGTTAACTTGCTATTAACTCCTGTTGCAGTGTTAACTGTTATATGTTAGAAAGTGGCTTTTCCCCTAAGATTCTTAGTCTTTTAGATTTAAAGACAATTTAAGGTTTTGGCCATTTGGCAGTAGAAAATGTGCATGTTTTAACTTAGCTTTATAAAATCCCTAACGTTTTACTTCTTGAACCATATACCAAATTTGCCAATTTTCTGTCCAAGTATTTCAGATGAATAACAAAATGTTGTTCATTAAAGCTTTTGCCACCTTTCTTAAAGCAGCTTATGTTCCAAGGGAAGAAGGCATCGAAAAGCAAACGTTTCTTTTTATGAAGAATACGTGTTCGAATTCCTTCAGTTTTTTTGAAATTAGAAATTTCTTATGTGAAATATTCACAAACATGCAGACTTCTGCAGAGACAAAGCATTTCATTGCAAGCGTACCAGGTTATTGATTTTATCTTTTCCTTTCAGGGTTTTTTCTCCCAAACCAGAGTCGTATGCTGCTAGTAGAATTTTTTATTTGATCCTGCAAACTTTTCTTATAGGAAAAGTAAGGCAAAAGATGTTCAGTGCAACCATCTGATAAACTGATGTGATTGTATTTATCCTCTGTTCTGTGTATTTCTGTAATGGAATCTTTATAATTCCCAAAGCAGTATTTTAGATCTACTGGAAATCTATATCAAAACAGCTATGTGATTCTGCCACTGAGAAAAAAATTTAAAAATTCTTTTTTCTTCTGCTGGTTTGTTTTTCTTTAATGAAGAAATTGATCTCATATGGCACCATAGATGCTAAATAAATAAAAGCATCATACTTCTCTACTTTGCCTGCATTCAGAGCTTAACATTGTGAGCATTGTGTAAGATAAACACATGGTCAGTATCAATGTAAATGTTAGAGCCATAATTAATTTCTATGAAAATTGAAATTAAATGTCAAAGACAACTAGACATAACTTAAGGCATGATAAGAGTGGTTTTTTTTTTTCCTGAACCCGTCATTATAGTGTTGGTTCCCGGTGCTTTTGAAGTATCATCAGGTGTCTGGCTAGGAGTATTGTTGGTAGGGACCTCGTCCAGGGAGTTTGTAAGATAATGCTAGATGGCACGACATCCTCTTTTCTGATTATGAGGGCTGCCAATTGATTTAAAATGTATTGAAAGGGCCGAGCGCAGTGACTCACGCCTGTAATCCCAGCACTTTGGGAGGCCAAGGCAGTCGGATCACTTGAGGTCAAAAGTTTGAGACCAGCCTGGCCAACATGGTGAAATCCCATCTCTACTAAAAATACAAAAAGAAAAATTAGCTGGGCTTCATGGCACACGCCTATAATCCCAGCTACTCAGAAGGCTGAGGCAGGAGAAGGTTGCAGTGAGCCAGGATCGTGCCACTGCACTCCAGCCTGGGTGACAGAGCAAGACTTCATCTCAAAAAAAAAAAATGTATCGAAACGACTCATGTTGGTGCAGTGGTATTTACTAGGATGCGCAAAACTTTGAGCACTGATGCCATGATACCCTGACAGGTAGTGGGGCACAGAGAATGAGGGTACACACATCCCCCCTTCAAGGAGTTCAACTTCTTTAGCTGGCCTGGAATGTGCAGGGCCACGTAGCCAACAGGAATAAGGATTTTGTTTGTAAAAATAAATTGAATAGATTTGAATGAACAGAAATGGAAATTTTTATCTCTTTAATAGTCGAGGCTGGAAAAGTTAGATCACTGTGGGGAAAGGCTCTGCTTCTGTGAAATTCCTGCACAGATTGGGAGAGATTGCAGACAGCTGTCAGGAACTCCAGGGCTGTGTTTGAATCTCAGTCCTGCACATATTACTATGGTAACTATATATATGAGACACACAATATGTAAAATTTGGGCAAATTCTCTTTCAGCGTCTTTTTCATGCACAGCTGTGAAATGATCAGAATGCCCATCTCACAGGCTTATTGTCACTAGCTACATGGTGGTGATGACAGTGGGCGTAAGGATAACTCAAGGACAGATGCAAACAAATACAATGCCGTATCCACCCTGTTCTTGCTGAAGTAAAACAGCAATCTTCGCTGTAACCCAACTATTCTAGACAGCAGCGTCTTCCTGACCCAATTGTCCTAATAATTTTCTATTAATGAAATACTGTTTCCGATGTAGTCACCGTATTGTCATGATCTTCATGATTTAGCATGTGGACGTTCTATGTCACTGCGTGACAAGCCACTACTTCAGAGAGCAGGTTTCTCCTCCTACATTGCTTTTTGGACCTTTGCTTTTCTTATTGTTCTCTAAAATTGCCATTTGCATTGTTAAGTATTCTTTTCTCCCCCTACTCGATTACTGTAAGCTGTGTAACTGCCAGCTTGTGGATTTAGACCATTTATTTTGGCTCTGTCAGCAGATTTGATTATTGATGTTTGATTGTTGGCAGAGGAGTCAGCATATTCAAAATAAGCATTAGGTGTGAGTTCCCCAGGTACTTCCACAGGCTGAGCCAAGAATCCAGGAAAACATTCTATCAGGCAACAGTGTTACCTGGGTTAAGGACTATTTCTTCTCCACCTATACCATTGGGTGAGAAGAATGGGTTAATACTCATTGATGAATGAAGTGGCATGTGAGAAGGGGAGTTTGGTAAAAAGCAACTGTGATAGTGAATTTATTCAAAACAAAACGCCTGCAGTTGGGTCTCTCATTAGTTGAACATCCTTATTTGTTGGGCTTTGCACCTCAGCCTCTGTTGCTGTTTTAGAGTTAATGGTTTTCATTTTTGTGTTTTTAAAGGATTTTTAATTTTTTTAACATTTTAAAGGTTTCCCTTTTTAAAGATTTTTAAAATAACCTTTTAAAAAATGTATTTCTCTCTAGATGCAGTCATCAGCCTTAGGTTAAGAGTACACGCCCCAGCTCCACACATCATACATGTAGCAGATTGGCAAATTTCTAAACAGAGTAATAATTGCCCCCATCTCCAAGGGTTGTTAAGACTAAATGAGTTGAAACAAGTAAAACCTTTTGAACATGCAAATCCATAGTGTGTGTTCAGTAAGTGACAGCCATTATTATGTAAATAACTAGGGGTATTTAAATGCATAGTAATTTTGAGACGTTCTCAATGGAGCCTTCCCTGTCTCTATAGTTATGCTGTGGAAGAGTGTGAATTCTAACAATCAATGTAATTTGATATATTCAATGGTGAGGTCTATTTCAGAAGTGGTATTTTAACCTTCGAAGAGTTCTTAGAACCCATTTCCTTGCTACTCCCATCACTCAGCTCTTCTTGGTTTAAGGGTTTTTCTCTGTATCTGCATTGTAATAGGGAAAGTGGAATAACAAATGATGATTACAAAAGGGTTTCAGAATCTCACAGTTAAGCAGTTTCCGACTGCATCACTAACATCCCCTGCACTCCACTTTTACTCCTGAAGGTGGCGCTCCGCAAACCTGTCTGCACCTCTTCCCCACCGCGCACACACCCTTGACCCAAGGGAAGAGGAATGTCGGTCCCTTCCCATAAGAACCTACAGAGCCAACCTGGACGGAGCAATAGCTGCTGTGTGGTCTCAGGTGTACGATGTACATCTTGGGGGAGATGTCAGATGACATTGGGCAACTGTTTTTCCCTTAAGCATTCCCTTCTAGTTTACAACTGCTGCTTTCAAAGTTGGAGAGATGAGGCTAGCAAGAAGAGTACTCACGTCTGAGGGGCCCGTACTATATATTTACACAAATTAAAATTCTATGAAACAAGCATTATCCCTATTTTAGAAATGAGGAAACTAAAACTCAAAGAGCTAAAAGCACTTGCTCAAAGATAACCTCATGATTCAATTCCCACTGTGCACGCTTTCAGAATTCTTTTTCCCACTTCAGTGTGCTGCAAGGCAGGGCTAGGAACGGGCCCTTTGTCATCTTTGGTATGAGTTATTCTACACAAACTTAGGTCTGAGGAATGAAACCAGTTATGCTGTAAGTGCACATCCTTGAACATGCTATAACTTTACCTGGGAACAGGGAGAGACTAGGAAAAATATGAACTAGGGCTGTATTTTTACTTCTTCCGTGGACCCACACACCTTCATCACTCTGCTTTCATGTACAAACACCTGCGACAAAGATGTCACTTGGAAAGGTTTCACTGAGATCTTCCTGCGTTGAGGCTTCTGGTGATGGGCTTGGGTTGGGACTCAAGCCAGCTGACCAGGGTTCAGTGCTCAAGGCCCTGGAAAAATCCAGGGTCCGCTGCCTCTGATAAGCAAGAGTGGTAGGTTCTGTGTCCAAAGGAGGTTATTTCAGAGTCTGGCCTCTTGTCTCCACTGTAGCGTTCTTTGTAGCCCTGGAGAGGAAAAGGCAGTACATTTATTTCTAATGTTTCCAATCATGCTCAGAGACCTTCTAGGGTGTTTTTAGAGACAGCCTATTTAGCTTTCAGACTCTTGACAATGCCCACTGCAAACACAACACCTTTTATGCTGAAGCAGCTGCCACTGGCGTTTCCCTGTGCTTTCTATTTTGCACAAATTCACCATGAGATTAAAAATAGGAAAGTTTAATGAGGTAACCAAACAGATTCCCTTCCTAGTTCCCCAGGAGAACTCAGTGAGGAACAGAGCACTGAAAGAATGGCAAGTACAGTGTTTAAATGCACTTCCTGCTCTTGTCCAGAGGTCTGGGTGGGTGGGTGTCAGCGCACAGAGGGTCCCCCTTCAGCCCCTGGGGTGGGGGTGGGGGCCTGCCCGAGGCAAGGCTTTCTGTCTCAGCCTTCAAAGCCCTCTCCCCCCTGCTCTCCACTTTCCAAGGATGTAATTATCATTCATTTGAATAATTCTTTCAAATATGCATGTGAAAAGATTAAGGGAGATGGCAAATACAATTTGGTAACTACATGAAAAGCCATTCAATAAACTCTGGAGGAGATTTATGGGTTTGCTCTGTATGTTGCCAAATTAACAAGACAAGGACAAAGCACATTGTGCCATAGTGAATGCAATACACGTTAAAACCCTGCAAATTAGACAAGGAGGATTGGAGCAAGACGCCTGTTCTAGTCCAAGCTCAACTTCATTGCCTACATTGAAGGGAGGTGGGAAGCAGTGGGAGAGGCGGGAGTGGGGACTACAGGAGGCCCCTGGACCAAGGCGGGTGCGGGTGAGGGCGCACCAGCACCAGCCATTTTTTCTTTTTCTTTTTTCTTTCTTTTTTTTTTTTTTTTTTGAGGCAGAGTCTCACTTTGTTGCCCAGGCTGGAGTGCAGTGGCGCAACCTCAGCTCACTGCATCCTCTGCCTCCCGGGTTCAAGCAAGTCACTGGGACCACAGGTGCATGCCGCCACACCCAGCCAATTTTTGTATTTTTAGTAGAGATGGGGTTTCACCATGTTGGCCAGACGAGTCTCAAACTCCTGACATCAAGTGATCTATCTGCCTCAGCCTCCCAAGGTATTGAGATTACAGGCGTGAGCCACCGTGTCTGGCCTAGCACCAGCTTTCACAAACCCCAGAGCCCATCCAGGCAGTACCCCCCTGGCACCTGCCTTCCACACCCCATCATCTCCTGGCTCTGAGTCATCCAAAAAGGTAAACATTCTCAACTCTGCCTCCTGCTCCCCACAGCCATGCGGTGCCTGGGGACATTGCGATCACCCTGTTAGCAGTGACTGTAGGCAGATGGGGAAAGAGGAAGATGGCAACTGACTTTAAAAGATCCTTCTCCATCTCTCTCACAACTTAACATACAGACTTGTGATAACACTTTCCAGATTGGTAGTAGGAAATGCCAAATGGTGAGAGGGGTGGCACAGGAAATACTTGAATCAAGGATTACAAGGATTGAGCAACGCCAGGCTCTGGAGGCCTAGCAGGAAGCTAGAGGGGCATTGTCAGGCCACAGCTTGTGCTTCTTGAACTCCTAAGGAGCCAGGGTGGTGGGTGCGTCCCCTAACTCAGGCCTATCCTGCAGGGCT